ACTGTTTATAATGAGAGGTCAGTCTTTCTAACAGGCTACTTAAACTGTGAGAAATAACTTGTTCTATCAGTTAAGAAAATTCTAGCCGCCTGAATCGATGTTCTGTTACAAAGCATCAAGGTTGAGTTAGTTTATCTGAGCAAAATGTTATCAATAGCATTGATCCAAAGATGATTAAGAATCTTCCGCGAACAAAAGCAATGTTAGGATTGTCGATCGAGTTTGGAAGGTGTATGTCTTATGACTTTTCTGAAATTTCGCGCTCTTAGTTCCAACTATGGGTGTTAGACATAGCATTGATCAAAAGATGATTAAGAAACTTCCGCGAACAAGAGCAATGTTTGGTCTGTCAATCGAGTTTGGAAGGTGTATGTCGTATAATTATTCTAATTGCGCTCTCTCAGTTTAAACTGTGGGTGATATTTTGCATTTTCAAAAATGGTTAAATTATTAAACATTTTTAAGTCTCAATCTGCTCGGAGGCATAAAAAGTCTTTACATCTCTTTGTTATTGGAGTCCTCGCGTCGAATGTCATGGTACAATAACTTGTTTCCAAGGCGGAACTCCTTCTGTGCGTCAATGCTTAACGGAAAACACTATTTCTTTTTCGATTTTTAATCAGGAAGATCATATTGTTTTTAAGACAGAACTTTTTCTAGCAATGCTGAACTGGTATGAGACGTTCTGAAACTGCAGAATGATAAAAATCCGTGATCGTTATCACAAATTCAGGCCAATATTTCGATATCTGATGACGTTGTTTCATTTCAAATTAAACGGACGTCGAAAATTATAAACAGAAAAGAGCTGTAAAATGTGTATGGAAATTGATATTGAAAAGATCAGGAACTAAAATAGTAGACAGAATGTAATCATATATCAACGAAAAGATGGGTAGTTTGTGTCATTAGTACCTCGAGCACCGGATCTAAAATCAGTGCTTGAATAAATTCAAAATATTTCACCCCTCATATGGGTGAATTAAACTTTTGAGAAACGTTCGCTGACAGCGGCAAAACATGTCTTCATTCTTGAATATACTTTGCTGAAGAGTCTAGAATCGATTGCTTCCTCTATGGGCAACGTGTCGCGAAACTCTAGCGGAGAAGGAAATTTTCAAAAAAGTCACTTGAAACTAAATCACCGGAAAACCACTTGACCACAGCTTTTTGACGTAGATAAGGGCCAAATCTAGCGATTGAAATAAAACCGGATGCAAAGTCATCTTCTTAATGTTTTAGTTTTGTTATTGTTTTTCATCTTCATCTTTTAGAGAATTTATCTTTAGACTGCCTAGGGAAAGCTCCCCACGCGGGTTTTTCTGCGAGATCGTGCCTAAGATTTGACGTCACAACCCAAAATACCGTGACCTGCAATGCCATAAAAGTTAAATTTGCTTCACAACCTTGGAAGATGAGTAACAGAGGTAGTGAGTATTTGCATAAGCAAAGTTGTCATTTTACGGATAAGTTGTGTTGTGTTACATCGGGCCTACCTTGCTAATTTTATAATTTCATTCTATTTGCGTATCTTGCAGTCCTTGGTTTCGCTGTAGGTAGTAATTATCGTTGTGTCCTTGGCTTCGTGAAAGTGTCGTACACTTTCGTTGGAGATCGAGATGGTGTTTATGATCGAACCTCTCCGGTAGAAATGACCCAAATGAACCCATGGCCCGAGCAACCTGCAACGGAAATACAGCTCCCAGATACTGACGATTTCTCGCACATTATTTTTTTTTTCGGGTAACATGACTCAGGTTTCGGGCGACATGACTTTGGGCGAGATTGCGACTTGACCGTAAGAAATTATGGTTATGTCGCCCGAAAAAAAGTCAAGTCGTCCGAAGAATAAAATACTTAAAAGATCAGAATATCAGACTGTAAATAGGCAATAATTTGAGAAATTTTTATCACTAAAGCGCTCTTTGTTTCCGACAACACCATGAAGATTCTAAAAGCGTTTTTCGTTCCCAAAAGCAAAGGGAAAAGTTGTTCGTTTTTAACAACAAAATGAAGCGTTGTTCGTTTGGTATGTAATCGTTTATTACGCTGGTTTGGACCTCTACGTTCTCTGCAATGATGATTCATTTACAATTTTTTCATGACTTTATCCAACTGCGAGTGTTTTTTGGTTTTTGTATTCACCCTCGGTAATCAGCAAACTTAGAGCGTTTCACACAGGACGAAGATATGCCAATCATCCAAACAATAGGAAGTAATAAAAACAAATAAATACTATGAGATCTTGACCGAGTTGTTCGGATATGATTGTAGAAAAATTAAGATATCCACAAAGCGGTGACAAGGAAAAATCCTTTTATTCATCGTTACAAATGTTAACTTGAAAATCTTTCTTAGGGTTGTTACAGTTTAAATTGATTAACTGCGCTCGTCCACGCAATCCTAGACGTTCTATTTTGAATATATTGTTATGTTATTACTATCATTATTATTATCTTTAAGTTCCTACAACACTGATTTAAACTAAGTACCCATCCCTGATACGGGTGAAATCAAACTCGTCTAGTTTACTCAATAGTTCTTACTTGTTAGATACGTACTTCATGGCTTTCAATTTCAATTTATATGCACAACTGTGCTTATTTTTTTCTAATCTCAGGCAAAATGTGTTTCCTTTTTGCAGCTTTCCAGATTTTGCCTTCCAGATTTATGCTTCAAATCCGCTTTCTCTCAATTTTAGGTGTCATTTCAAAAGTAAGTTTTTCTCAGACCATTGATTAACAAAAGTGAGAGATTATTTAACAATTTCTCATCAAGCGAGAGGTAGATGTAGATATCCTACCCTTTCACCGACTCTGAGGTTAAATATTTGTTCTGGTTATCACCGTGCAAGCTTCCTATCTAAGTGCTTTATTGAGAAAAAAATAAAATTGCATGTTGATCGAAATATATTATGATTTCGATAGAAAATGAAAAGAGTGTTACTTTAAGGGGCGAACTCGACCAGGCGGTAGCCTGGGGCGAACTTGCGTGATGCAATGATTCTTTTTTTGAATTAGAATGTATTCCTAACTCCAAAGCACCTTTCTTACACAAATCAATTTGTTGAAAGTATTTTGACCGTTTTTATTCGTGGCTCACAGTTGCACCTCGGTCTCTTGTGGCGACTCTGCAAGAAAAGAGGAATAAAGAGCCCACATGTCAGCAAATATACGAAACAAATTCCATCTTGCCTGCCACAAATTATCCTTCCAGATGAGGATGCTTTGTAACTTAATTAAAATCAATCATAAGCTTCAAAGGTAATTGTCTCTGTTACTTAACTATCTATGCCGAGGTTGTATAAATTGTGTATGTAAGATGTGTTTGCAACTATAGTAACAGTGGTGATAAAACAAACCCTATTGAACGGTATTCCCTCAGTCACACTCCAAGAAGCAGCAGTTATTTAAGATCTGCGTAAGATAGCTTCACCTGTCAACTGTTTATAATGAGAGGTCAGTCTTTCTAACAGGCTACTTAAACTGTGAGAAATAACTTGTTCTATCAGTTAAGAAAATTCTAGCTGCCTGAATCGATGTTCTGTTACAAAGCATCAAGGTTGAATTAGTTTATCTGAGCAAAAATATTATTAATAGCATTGATCCAAAGATGATTAAGAATCTTCCGCGAACAAGAGCAATGTTAGAATTGTCGATCGAGTTTGGAAGGTGTATGTCGTATGAATCTTCTGAAATTTCGCGCTCTTAGTTCCAACTATAGGTGTTAGACATAGCATTGATCAAAAGATGATTAAGAAACTTCCGCGAACAAGAGCAATGTTTGGTCTGTCAATCGAGTTTAGAAGGTGTATGTCGCATAATTATTCTAATTGCGCTCTCTTAGTTCAAACTGTGGGTGATATTTTGCATTTTCAAAAACGGTTAAATTATTAAACATTTTTCAGTCTCAATTTTCTCGGAGGCATAGAAAGTCTTTACATCTCTGTTGTTGGAATTGTTATTGTTATTCGAATGTTATGGTGCAATATCCTTCTGGGCGTCAATGCTAACAAGAAAACACTAGTTCTCTTGGATTTTTAATCAGGATGATAATATTGTTCTAAGACGGAACTAGCAATGCTGAATAGGTATGAGACGTTCTGAAACTACAGAATAATAAAAATCCGTGATCGTTATCACAAATTCAGGCCAATATTTCGATATCTGATGACGTTGTTTCGTTTCAAATTAAACGGACGTCACTGAAAATTATAAACAGAAAAGAGCTGTAAAATGTGTATGAAAATCGATATTGAAAAGATCAGGAACTAAAATAGTAGACAGAATATAATCATCTATCAACGAAAAGATGGGTAGTTTGTGTGATTAGTACCTCCAGCACCGGATCTAAAATCAGTGCTTGAATAAATTTAAAATGTTTCACCCCTCATATGAGTGAATTGAACTTTTAAGAAAAGTTCGCTGACAGCGGCCAAACGTGTCTTCATTCTTGAATATACTTTGCTAATGAGTCTAGAATCGATGGCTTCCTCTATGCGTAACGTGTCGCGGAACTCTAACGGAGAAGGAAATTTTTAGAAGTCACCTGAAATTAAAACGACGGAAAATCACTTGACCACAGCTTTTTGACGTAGATAAGGACCAAATCTAGTGATTGAAATAAAACTGGATGCAAAGTCATCTTCTTAATGTTTTTGTTTTGTTATTATTTGTTATCTTCATCTCTTAAAGAGTTTATCTTTAGACGGCTCAGGGAAAGCTCCTCACAGCGGGTTTTTCTGCGAGATCGTGCCTAAGATTTGACGTCACAACCCAAAATACCGTGACCCATAATGCCTTGAAAGTTAAGAAATGCTTGACAACCTTGGAAGATGAGTAACAGAGGTAGTGAGTATTTACATAAGCGAAGTAGTCATCTTAAAGTTGTGTTGTGTTACATCGGGCCTGCCTCGCTAATTTTATTCTATTTGCGTATCTTGCAGTCCTTGGTCTCGCTGTAGTTAGTAATTATCGTTGTGTCCTTGGCTCCGCAAAGAAATGTCGTACACTTTCGTTGGAGATCGAGAAGGTGTTTACGATCGAACCTCTCCGGTAGAAATGACTCAAGTAAACCCACAGCCCGTGCAACCCGCAACGGAAATACAGCTCCCAGACATCGACGATTTTTCGCACATTACGCTTCATCAGGTAAAAATGTGTATTTGAAATTTTACTACTTTCAGCTTAATTAATTCCATGCAAGCAAGCTGTGTTCCAAAAACGTAAATTGTTAGTATTAAATTTTGATTATACCGGATTGAATTTTATAGCTTTCTTGAGCAGAAAAGAAATACGTCCTTCGTTCATAGCACTGATCATTGTCGAGCTAGAAGGTTCCTCACAACAATGAATCACCTCAGTATATTTTGTTCAATTGTCTTTTTGATGGTCGATTTTACGATTTTACGCTATTAACAAACAAGGGATTATACTTCAAACAAACTTGACGAACAATATTACACTTCACCTCTTCTAACGAAGTTTCCAAACTTTTTTCTGGAAGTGTAAACTCGAGCTGCATGAAAAGCAGGTGATCTATGAGCGGCCCGTATTATTATTTAAATCAGTATTCTCAAACGAAGAAAGAACTTAAACATAATAATTGTGGCAGTATATCAATTCAACATTTTTAACATACCAAGCCGTCGAGTGTAATCTTCTGTTCAGGCTACGTAAAACTTCTTACCTAATTTTCCTTTGTAATTTTTTCCTCCAAGGTCTTTGTTTTTGTTTTGTTCATTTATACTGATGATACAATGAAAAAAAAAAAGATAATGTTGTCTATTCAACGTTGAGAGTCTTATGCAAAGCCAACAAATGTGACATTAAAAATTAACATCGGTTTATTACTGCATAGATTATTTCTTATGGAACATTTTTTTTTCTGTTTTTATTTTCTGGGTACTCTCCAAAATGATGATAATACATGTAGAAATACACTTAATGTGCTAAAGTATAAATGTGTGTAAGGTCGTTCTTAGAGTTTTAACCCTCATTTCGCGGCTCGGGTTGTGTCAGGCCCAAACCATATTTATACCCGCGAAAATAAACTGTCTTTTTTTATTAACTAAAGAACCCACTTTTAATTGCATTTCTACTGCTTCTTAAGGATAACAGATTATTTGTTACTTTATTTTACGTATGACATTCAAGGGGGTGTTTTCTAGAATTGTTGCGATACTAGTTGTGACCCTTTTGTGGTATTTTGGTATTTGAGGTGTTTAACTGATTGCCAAACATCACCTTGATCTCAAAGGAAAGTTGCCTAGGTGAAAATTATTTATATTTTGTAACAGTGCATAATTAAAGCTTAACCCTTGTTAGTCAAACAATATGCTCCCTATGGTACTGAGAAGAAGAAATGGTGTGAAAATCATAAGTTGGCAATCATTTTATTTATCATCAAGGCCTTAATGTTTGCGTCAGCATTCACACAGTAAGGAGAAATTAATCACTCAAATAACACTTAGACCAAACAAACTGGCCACCCTGCCACATCCAATTACATTGTACACTGATTCTAAAAGGCCTGAATGAGCAGAAAAACTATTCAATCTTCTAAAATATAATAAGGAAGGGATAAAAACTTCCAAATCTTTTCTAGAAAAGGAGCTGGTATATTTTAAGCTCAGTGATTACTGTGAAAGTTGTGTTACTTTAGTGAATGATACTGTAGGCTTGAAAAACAGAAGCTCTTTTGGGAATTGAGCCTGCCTGTAGAATACAAATGTCCATATCGAGGAAGAACTGAGTAAAAAGATTGTTTCTGGGTATACCTCTGTTAGTCTGTTACCCAACTTAAATTCCTTATCTCTCACTTAAATTTAACACTTGACTTCTACATCTCAATCACTTGGTTTTCTTGAAACTTTAAACAACCTGTCATGCTTGAAATAAGGGAGAGCACTGAAAAAGAGAAAAGCCAAACTGTTTTAAAAAATTTTAAGCCTTTGAATAATTAAAGCTCAGCATCTACAAATTGATCTGTAACTTTTCAGGGAAGTCAACCAAAGCCTTAACTGCAAGTAGAAAGCAAAATGCCAGAACAGAAGATTGGGACTGGAGAATGCTTAATATTGCCAATTATTCACTTTTTCTTAAGATTATTATATAGTTAAATTTCATTATTATAGTGTGTTGGATTGATTTACAGGCTGCAAGAGATGGTAAAACTGATGTCATCAAGCAAAGACTTTCCAAACTTGCATCGAAAAACCAAGCAAGATTCCAAAAATTAGTAAACAAGAGAGATGAGGACAACACCACACCTTTACACTATGCTGTACGATATGGACAGGTGGAGGTTGTCAAATTGTTGGTAGAGCTAGGAGCAGGTAATTATTTTATAAGTAATTAACTTGTTTATGCTTGGAATAGCATGAGGATCTGTAAAACTCCTAATCTTGCAAAATAATCTACAAGGGAATGAATAGTATTAGGAGCTTGAGCATATTGAAATTTTGGAAATTACCATGAAATTGCAAACACTGATAGCCTTGAGGGAATGTTATTGTTTTCCAAGGATAAAGATGATCATGCATGAGAAGACTTTTCAAAAGAACAAAGGGGTTAACCCTTTAACTCCCATGAGTGACCAAGACAGAATTTCTCCTCACAATATCAATACAATGTCAATCAGATAAGTGATAAGAATAAAGAAAAATATCAATTTGGTGATAATAAGTTGATCCAATACTAACTTCTCTGAACTAACATTATAAGAATTGTATGGTTGACATTTAGAAGAATTACAAATTTGATCTGGGAGTTAAAGGGTTTAGCACTTTAGGACTTCTTTATCTATACCCCTGCTCTAACAAGTAGGTTCTTATCCAAATGTTATCTTTTTGATAGTTATTGACATCCCTGGAGAAGATGGAGCGTCTCCCTTGCATTATGCTGCAAGATTCCGAGCGAACTTATCTCGCCCATCTGCCAGACAAGTGTCACAAGTGATTGCTGGTGGGGAAAATGGAACAGTTCCTGATGGGGTAGTAGAAACTAATATAGATGTTGTAGCTGCACCTCTGTCACATGCCATCAGCTCCAATAGTCTCGGAGAAGTGAACCAAGCTATGTCACAGGTCTGAAGAGTATATGTTGTAGTTGATTCAAAGGAATTTTTGGGGATGGACAGTGATTGGCAAATATCTTGACATGCAAACCATCAGTTGAATATGTTTTGTTAGTATATACCACACAACACAGGTGGAAGGGCACAGCTAGGAAGGGTTCCTAAGGTGCCTGTGGACCCCCCCCCCCATGACATTGTAAGCCTTTTTTTAAGCAAACAACCTACAATATCCAGGTGATAAAAATGCTATGACAATATCTTAAGTTTTTAAAGAAACTGTGCTGCTGCTTGGGTGGAGAGTATAACAGGGTAATTCAGGCTGACATTTTGAGCATTAGTCCTTCATTAATTGTTCTGTTCAGTTCATCTGTGACAATAGCATATTATTTACATACGGGAAGGATTGATGATGTCAAACAAATCATGCGAGTGAATTATAATTGGTTAAAAAAGTTTAAAAACAGAGACGAAAGAGAGATCAGAATCCACTATGGTTTTTGAATTGTTTCATTATTGTCAAATTGTTTGGGGGAGTATAGCTACTCTCAACTAATATGTAGTGTTTTATTTACATTTACGGCTGTATGTTTAAAATTGTCTAAAACCTAAGCAAGGGAGGCATGCTAATTACTTTTGCCACTTACTGTTAAGTTTAATTTCCACTTTCAATTGTTTCAGATTTGTAACTTAACAGAACCTTCACACTAATCAATTTCAAATCAAACTCTGGCATTTTGAGATATAATTTTCAACCTACCATTCATGTTTTAACTGCAACATGCAACATGTACACCAGCACATGCACATGCACTCTTTGTGTTTCATAATTAATTTTATTTTTGCTATAACTTATTTATAAACTTCATGCTTATCAATAGAATGAAAGACAAAGATTTCCAAAAAAATAACCTCTAACATTGAATTTTCTGTGACATCTCTGAAAAAAATCAAAATCTTGATATTTGTGAGTGTCAAGCAAGTTCAACAAGAATATAGAGTTGAAATGAGTTTTGAAAATGTGCATAATCCACACTGCCTCAAGTGCAACTGGGTTTGTGGATGAGAAAAAATCAGTGACCAGTCAATTGGTGGTTCTTGGGCAAAAAATCAATTATTCACATACTGTCAGTTCCTTTTCACCCAGGAGTGTAAATGGTCAGGGATACTTGATGAAATGCTGAGGGGTATTAACAAACATCCCATCCAGGGGGGAGTAGTGATACTTCTTGTTGTTAGATGCTAAGGAAACTGGGATAAGTTCAAGCAGGGTGAGCCAATTGGCTCTCAATACAGGTTTAACCAGTTTACTGAGTGTAAAAGAAGAAGCAAGGTTGTTGAAGTAAATTCACCTCTGAAGTGAATAGTCTTTTTCTTAGGATGAGCACACCACATGATCAAACCTATAAATACTGGCATATTTATCAGTTTTAATTATTGTGAATTCACCCCGAAATGTTTTCTTACAGGTTCCTTCAGTGGATGAATCTCTAATTCAGTTTTTTGTGAATGAATGCAAAGGAGATGTAAATGTTAAAGATTCTTATGGAAGCACCCCTCTTCATTATGCAGCATCAAAAAGCAATGTAACTGCTATAAAAGAACTGTTGAAGTGTGATGGGATAAATGTTGATGTGAGTTTTTTGTTTTTTTATGTTGTGTAACTTAATAGACAAATGTGAAAGAAGATAACTTGGATTTAGGGTGTTGGAATTGATCAGTTTTGACAGTCTAGGCCACTTGGCAAGTGTAAGACACAACCTCTTGTAAACATAAAGTTCTATGTGACCAAAAGATGTAAATTATTGTGTGTCTATATCTTTCATACTGACAGGCGGCAGATGCCAGTGGATCCACACCTCTTCATTGTGCTGCCACTGAAGGTAGTGTAGAAATTGTTGAGGCATTACTGGAAGCAGGATCTGATCCGAGGGAAAAGGATTATGAGGGAATGACACCAATTCATTTTGCCTGCACTGACGGGAATCCAGAGACTGTTAAACTTCTATTTGAGCATGCAGGAAGAAAGGGTGATCTACTTGAGATGTTAGAGGACAGAAATAGGGAAGGTGAAACAGCACTTCATTCTGCAGTGGAAGGTGGCTACATTGATATTGTTGAAATTTGTTTGAAGAAAGGAGCAAAGGTGAAAGCAAGACGGGGTAACCTTGCACAGCCATTACACATTGCTGCCATCAACGGATATGTTGACATTGCAAAATTATTGGTTGCTCATAGGGCCAAGATTGAAGCAAGGAATGTGAACCATGAGACACCATTACACAAGGCTGCTGCCTTTAATAAGATTTTTATGGTGGCTTTTCTTCTTGAAAAGTAAGATTAAGAAAGGTTAACAGATGTAAAAGTTCTTCAAGTGTCTCGATCCTTGATTCTTGATCCTCGATACTTGATACTCAAGCCTCAATTCTTGATCCTCAATTCTTGATCCTCAATTCTCTATAGTTTCAAGTATTGAGGATCAAGTATTGAGTTGAGACTGTCAACTTGCCTTCGCACATGTTGTATTTCATATTTCCTTGGTGAAAACTTCTCCAAACCAGTAATTTTGATTTTGATGTTTCTCAGGTCTACATTTATTACCATTACCTGTGATGAAGAAAAGAAACTTAAACTAGTGTGAAAGTTTTAAACTAAAGGAAATTCTGCATCCAAACATAAATATCTTGATAATAATCCCCTGGAGTAGTAATCAACATGATAGTTAAAATTGGGTCATTTAAAGAAATTTTAATGTTATATTTGGCTTATCTCTACATTGAAGGGTCATTGTCATTAATGGCACAATGTATTTGAGTCAGGATTCCTCCAGTTTGTTAAAGCTCCTTTGCATGTGGCAGGAACTCATTTATCTGATGCTTATTACCTGAATATGCAGTAGAAGCTTGTCATGGAAATGGTTTTGAGTTCAAGTTTGTGAGAAGTTCAAGTGACATCAGGTCAAGTTAGGAAGGTTAGGCAGTGTATTTAGTTATCAGTAGGAGAGAAAAGCAGATGGAGATAAAGGTGACAAGGAAGTAGCCAAAAGCTTGAAATACCTGGCAGGGATAAGTCACCACTTAATTTCAGATACCCAATACAGAAGGAAGCTAACTTTTGCAGTGTGTCAGAATTTGAGGCTGAGTGTGTGTGTTATAGCAGAGACCTGTGTCTGCTGGACATAGTATAGCTTTAGTTAATATTTTATATTTTAGTTGTTGTCGTTATTATTATTATATTTGTCTGATTGCACTAGGTTAAATTACTTTGAACAATACATGTACCAGTAGGCTCCTAGAAACCCAACTTAAATGAGAACAATTTAAATCTTTTTCTTGTTACAGAGGTGCTGATATTGATTGCCTTGACAAAGATAACTACACTCCCTTGTTGGTTGCTGCATCAGAAGGACACACAGATATTGTGTCAAAACTGTTACGTGAAGGTGCAGATTTACAAGTAAAGAACATTCATGATAAAACTGCAATCTTTTTGGCTGCTGAGGAAAACAGAGTTGACACCTTAAAGGTATGTTCTATACATTTTATTGCAGCTTTGCATTTATAGCCTATGTTAACTTTTATTACTATATACATGCATTTTGCTGTTAGAGTCAGAGAATCATGCCACACCAGGGTTATTTGGGGACTGGGCTGTTTATTATGATATTATTATGACAAAACAGAGATCAAGAAATGCAGGTGAACTGTAAAACCATATTTAACTACTGCTTTACATGTACAATTATGATTAATGCATCATGTAACAGTTCAGTTGCATCATGGCTGATTTTCATTCATGTAACTCTCTGTCATAACAAAAGAACAGTTATTTTGAAATGTTTCTGATATTCATGTTTTTTCATTAGTTTTGCTGCAGCACTAATATTCTATTGTCTAAAGCTTTGAACCTGTCATCTGCCACAAGTTGATGGGTATTTCCTCATTCTCACCCCTCCTTTACTTAACATTTTTTGTTAACTCTTTTAAAAAGAAACAGTTTACACCAACCCTCTGAATTGTGCCATTGATTTTTACTCTTTTTAACCTAAAGGTGTATAAAATAACTGTGCATAATTTCACAACTTTTTGTCAGGTGATCCTGGAGAATGAAAACGCCAAAGCTTTGATCAATGAGAGTGATAGGTATGAAAACACTCCACTCCATGTTGCTGCTATGAATGGCTATGCTTCTGTTGTTCAGGTGAGGCTAAGTTCAGTGTGTAGCCAAACATTAACTGACATTTACTTACATTTTGGATTGACTAGTTTATCATTTTTGTACTATATTATTTGAAAAAGCTCTCTTACTTGGGCTGTGTAGTCTCTGTTAATTCAACTCTGTTAAGTGTAGACCACACCTGTGTAGGTAGGAGTATATCATGTCTCTAGTTTGGTGATCTAACTGTGATACAGGTGTTATTAATTTAATGTTGATTTTCTTTTCAACATTTTTTATGATGACTCTTCACAACATTGAATAGGCGTTGTTGGAAAATAAAGCAAAGATAAATGCAAGAAATGAAGATGAGAACACCCCTCTGCATCTGGCTGCAAAACATGGAAAAATAAGGTATACACACATCAATTTATCTGCTAATTGACAATCAAAATTTGTTCAATTTGCAAGTTTTACTTGAAATATATTTCTTTGGAATAACTATATTTTGTTATGCTTGTTTTAAATAAAACTGTACAATTGTTGCTATCGAGGTTGCTCTTTTGAAAGCATGGATTTTTCCACAGACACTGTGGCACATAATGTGAAACTTTTGTGGTTTAAGTAAATATATTTGTTATTGTAGAAAGTTTTTTGTGTTTTTTTTGAGTGTGTAAAACCAAAACCAAAGGAACCACTATAGCCAATCAGAAGGGAAAAAAAGCCTTTAAAAGCCGATCAAATTGAAAACAAGCAAACTTCTTAAGGCGCAGGAAAACGCGGGTGAACAAGTCATGATTGGTTTTAGTTTTACATGTGATTGGTTGACAGAGTGGTGCAAGCTTTCTGGACCAATCACAGGGTAAAGTGAGACAAAATCAATTCAGTGTTAGATCACTTTTGACACTCAATTGAAAATTGCTCTGAATTGAAATGATAACGATCTTCCCTCTCCTAGGACTGTTCTCGAGCTGATAAAGAGTGATCCTACCATTATAAATGATGAAGATGAAGCATCAAACACAGCCCTTCACTTGGCAGCCATAGAAGGTCACATAAAGTGCTGCAAGGCTCTGTTAGAAAAAGGAGCTGAAGTGGATGCTAGGTGTGTAGAAATACCATGAGTCCAGAGGTTACCAGTCATTTGGTGCCCAAGGTTGCTTGCGCTGGGAGAAAAATTTCTTTTTTTTTTGTCAAGCTCACCTCGACTAAAACTTGTTTTCGTACGCGCTTATTATGGGTAGAGAGTTGGAAGTGCTCAGTGAGACTCACAACTCCATAAGAGTTATTCCCTTGGTCTTCTTTCTGATAAACTTGCTTTAAACTAGAATTACAGAAATTTTGAAATATCCTTTGTTTGAAAAACTTTACAGATATTTTAACAGCTTAAGATTCAAGTAATTTGACCGGAATACTGAAAGTGAGGCTAAAACCTTTGATTTACATCCTTAAGCAAGGTGACTCTTTTCATTCTCTCCTTTCTTTCATACTCCCCCCCCCCACCCTCCCGACCCCCGCAACACTGCACCTTTTACTTACCGAACATAGTCACATAAACAAGTGTTTTATCCTTCTCAAGGAACGCCACATTGTGGACACCCCTGGATTGTGCAGCAGCTAAAGGTCACTTAAAAGTAGCGAACATCCTGTTGGACTATGATTCACCTGTCGATCCTACTGATAAGACCAAGGTAAAGGATAATGTTAAAATATAGAACAATTCTAAACAAGCATTATTCTTTTTGTAAAATTTGATAAAAATTTAGTTTCTTTATTTGTGATGTATTACAAAGGTGAAGTATTAGTGAGATATCAGGTACCGACCTTGTTGAAAGAAAAAGATATTCAAGGTCGCCCTCTGACCCCCGGGAGTGACTAGCATTTAAACTCTCCTAACAATATCACCCCATCAATCACATAGCGAGGTTACGAGAATCTAGGGAATGATTACCAACAAAAGAAGCTCTTAATTGTTGAACAAATGGAGAACAGTATGGAGAATATTCATACTGATGAGCGTGAAGGGTTGATCTGTTAAAAATAATCATGTTTTTCGTAAGGGAAATAGAGTCCTTATAGTAATGAGTTTTTCACTTCCATCGCCGGACAATAAATAAAAAGGCCACTTAAGAATCTCTTTATCGTTTTAGAAATTTACTCATTGCTCATGTACACTCTGCTATATGTGACTCGTGTTTCTTTTACAGACCACACCTTTACATTTGGCCGCAAAAGAGGGCCATGCTGAAATGGTGACGCTTCTGCTGTCTAAAGGTGCTGACATTACACTAACAGACCTGAGTGGAAGAAACTGCCTCGACTTAGCAGCAGATCACAGCCGCAAGTGAGAACCACTGCTTTTTTAACATAATAGAAATCGAATTACACGCGTTCACGTGCAGTCTCGTGTATTTCTTTTTCCTACGCATGTGGAACTACATGCTGTTCAAGCGCTTATAATTCTCACATATTGACGCGCAGATAAGAGCTACTTTACTCGTAAGCGACACTGTGTTTGTGAAGTGACACACCCTGCTACGCTTGGTGTGACGTTCTTTTCTTCTTACCACACTTTGACGTCATCCGTGATATATTACTAAACAGAAGCATGGCAACATAGAATCAATTTTTTTAAAAGGAATTGTGAGTTGCGTAATCATCAGACAGAAAGCTGCAACGAAGCATTCTTCCGCAGCCGCTCAACCTAGCTTCGTGCTGATGATTTAGCGGCTCAGTGTGGCCTTAGTTTTTCTATGGTAATTCATGGCTATTGATCTAATGCTTCTGTTGTTTTGTTAATACAAATGTACCTGTTTTCTTGTGTTCTACAGGGAAGCAGCCATGGCCATCGTCAAAGATGAACAATGGATCGATGTTCTAAAGAACAAATCATGGGAACAGAGTCACGTCACCACTCCATTGAGAAAACTGATCATTAAACTTCCTTGTACGTCGACTCTTAATCTTATTCAAATCTTTAAGCAGGGTGTGAACAAGTTATAAAAGAACATTTTCTTTATTTGCGTTCGATTCGGTTCAGGACTTCCAAACCTTTCTCGTGTTCTTCCCGCTCTGAGCTACCGGAGCAGCTAATTGGTCGGTAAACTGATGGAATGTGCGACTTATTTGCAGTGCTTAAGAAATCTTGACATTTGTGATTTTGTGAATGCTAACCCTGTGGATAGTGGTTAATAAGGGGTTTTGTAGTTTCGTTGAAATATTTTGATTTGATGTTTGCAAGGAAGACAAGTGATGAAGGGTAGATAAATATCAACGATATTTATAAATGTAAACAAAAAAAAAAGGAGCGTAATACAATTAAAGAAATTCTTCTGAAATTTCCCTTCCTACACTCAGCTGTGGCAGAAGCAGTCTTCAACCGTTGTGTCAAAGAAAGTAACCACCATGTCGAAGACAAGAAGTACGAGTTGACCTTTTACTATGAGTTTTTGGAAGATATCTACTTGGACTGGTCAGATGGGGGCGATGCAGCTTCGGAGACGTCCAGTGTAGCGAGCTTTTCAATGGAAGACGTCGCAGAGGATGAAGAGTTTAGGAAGATTCAAGGGTCAGCTGGTGTGGTTGAAGCTGTGACTCAGTTGGAGAAAAAGGATAGTCATCCTCTTATGATTATGGTATATTTACGCCTTCTGTGTTCTTTTAAATGAATTGTTTGTCTTCGTATATTAAAGTGTGATTAAGGCTAACTGGACGCAAGACATGGTTGGTGTATAGTGAGTGTGCAGCGGAAAGGAAGGAGGTTCAATGAAAGGGGTGAGGAAGGAGTAGAAAGAGGGGACTGGGAGTTATCCGGGGGAAGAAAGAATAACCAACTAGAAAGCATATTTATTCCCCTCACGGCGTTGTTGATAATCCTTAGTTTGGCTCGAGAGGAAGCTTTTCTGTTGTGTGCATGGACCAGGGAAGAAGCATTGACGGGAGTTATGGGGATGAAGGAATAATGCAAAGAAGCAAACACTTTAGGGATAAGGAATGGAGGGAAGAAAGGAAAGATGTACAAGTGGACTGGATGGATGGATAGAGGAATAAAGGAAGGAAGGAATAAAGGAAGGAAGGAAAAGAGCAAGAATTAGGAGGAGGCAGGGAGTCCGAGAGGGAGGGAAGGAGGGGTGGAAAGAAAAGGGTAGAAAGAAGGGAGGGGGAGGAAGAAAGGAAGGGAAGGTTTTTTTTAGTCCCTTTGATCAATCTGATGACCTTAAATTGTTAATTTTAGGTGAAGAATAAACGTGAACAGTTGCTTGGCCATCCTCTTGTCACGTTTCTGTTAGACTACAAATGGAAGACGTTTGGCAGGTACATTTATTATTTCAAGCTGGCCCTCTATTGCTTGTTCTTGATGTTTTTGACTGGTTACACTGTTTATTTGACTGAGCATGGCCCAGTTTGTGCCAATGGAACTGTAGTTGACAAAGGAACTGCGGACGAGAGCTCTGTTCTTTACATCTTGTGGATAAAGGTCGGGCGTATTGTGATACTGGCGCTAGCATCGATGCATATTCTTTCTGAGGTAGGATACTTGTTACTGATTTTTTAAAGCAGTATCAGTATTTTAAAGTAAGTAAATCAAAATTGATAAATAGAATGGTAATTTAAGATTCTTTCTCCCCCCCCCTCCCACGTGTGCCTCTAGTTGTAATTTTATAATCCTCCTTGCGTCAAGCCTGTGGTCTCAAATTGTCGAACTAAAGTTCGTTTCTGTAATGGTAAATGGCACACTCCGTGCATGAAACTTAAGAAAGCTGGGATTTTTGTTTTATTTAAGCCCCGTTTAAACGGTCGTGATAGTTGATGATAGTTTCAACTATCACGCCCATTTGGACACGAACCATCATTCGCTATCTTCGACTATCATTGACTATTAACACTTATCATGTGTTTGGACGTGTTCAAACTCTACATGATAACTGATGATAATTTTTGCCATTTAAACGAGCGGATGATAGGGAATGATAGTATTTCGGTCAGCAGTCTTGCCAAAAACGGGCTTAAACTGATATGGCAAATGGTAAAATTACTGAAGTAGCCGTGAAAATTTCGCAGAATGTCTTTAGTATCTTCAACTCGCAATTTCTTGACTAAAATTTCAAAATGCCACCGAAATTACTGACCTTAGCGCGCGCCTTTTTTGTTCATAATTACGCGATCTCATTGACTGATTTAGTCATTTTATTTTGAACGCAAACATGTTAGTCACTTTTAGTGAGTGATATTTGAAACTATCATCAAGAATCATGACCGTTTGAACGGGGCTTTAGTCTTAAAGAGTAACGACTTTTGAAGCAAAGTAAATCTACTTCAGTTTGTAGAAAAACGTAACTTGTGGGTTAAGGACCACTGATTATTTACTACCGGATGGGAAGGGATCTTGGCTGTGTCATGATGATATTTAGTTGACCCTTCCCCCCCCCCCCCCCCCCTCCAGGGCTTTGTAGTGTTCTTATGATCCTCTTCATTGGAAGTGAATGACAGTCAATTTTTTATAGTCCTCCCTGTGAGGGCCAAAATTACTCGTAAATGTCCAAAACACGCTCTTCAATATGCTTCAACAATATATTCTCACAAACGAAACAAACTGAAGTATTGATGGGAAATGAATAATCGAAGCGATTAAGGAAAACGATCCGGGACAGTGAAACGATAAAGCCGATTGACTAAAATTTACAGTATTAGACTTCTAAAAGTGACACAAATAAAGGAAATTATGCAAAAAAAAGAAGTAACAGAACGTCGATGAAAGCAATGAACGTGAAAACAAAAGAACTTAATGAAAATGCGATGAAAAAGAAAAAATGCCAATTCTTACTGACTAACGTCAAATAATTTTGGTGGCAGCACTCCCTTCATACTCTGTTGGCGAGGACTGTTCCCCCCTCACTCCCTACCCCTGTAAACCAAGTGATCCCCCCTCAAATCCTCCGCACTCCTTCCTGGTGATGAATAATGACTGGTCTCTTAACGATCGAAAATAGGTCAGTCGTGTAAATCTGTTAGTTTTTTCCCTTTTTTATGTTTTCTTTTGCATTTATTTTAATTCGATATTCGTGGCCCTTGCAGTTGTTCCAACTCGTGTATCAGCTTAGGCAGTATTTCTCTTGGGAGAACCTTTTGGAGTGGGGTGTCTATGTGCTAGCCATTGTCTACGTAGCTGATGAGTTCCAAGAGAGTTTAGACACCAGGTACGTGTCAGAGATAATCCTAGCTTGTGTGAAGTTTCAGAATCACATGTTGACATGGTCTGCACTTAAAAACTCTGTCGTACTTTGTTCGTGAACGCCTTTTGATTTAGTGTTGTAAAATTATAACTCAAGTGTTCTAACGTCTCGTGTTCAAAATCAAAAATTGGACACCACCCCTGTCACGTCAATTCTTGAGTGGAAGTGCTCAAACCTAACTAATCTCTTTGTTTCACATTGCAGCTGTTCGACGGCGAAAAAAACCATCGGAGCCTTATCAATCTTTCTTGCTTGGATGGCTTTGGTGTTATTCATCAGAAAGTTTCCAAAGCTTGGTATTTACGTGGTGATGTTTACAAGCATTCTCAACACATTCACGAAATTCTTCATGATCTATGTGTTGTTCCTAGTGGCCTTTGCGCTTTCGTTTTTTACGCTGTTCTATGATCCTAAGGTGAGCTAGATCTCTTCCAAATCGACACAGATACATTGGAGTTTGTTATTCAAAAGTGATAACTTTTAATTTTTCACAATAGTTGTTTAAATTTTCCCCGCTCATTGATGTGTAGTAGAATTTTTCAACAAACGATTTTCGGATTTTACGGTTCCGTCCGATTTCGAATGGTTAAACCTTTCTTTTGGATGCTTCGTACTTTTTTGAACGGTTTCGGACAGTTTGCAATACAAGCTGCGCCGATGGTCCTGCAATAACCAGATTTGGTTATTGTAAAAACCTGGTTTCCAAACACGGAAATAAAACGTTGTTTCTTCAAACAAACCAAAATGATTTTCTTTTTTCGTTCATTGATGGACCTCAGGTACTTCAAATCATGATACACGATTGTGAGGCGGGAAAGTACGTCATTTTTATGGTCGACATTCTCGTCAATGATGAGCCTGCGAGAATTCAGCCTCTGTAAAAATAAGAAAGAAATCCTTGTGCTCTATATAGTCAACGAGGAAGCCCTTAGCCGCTTCCCACGGTCTGTTTCCTATTTTGTTTTTGAAATAATGAGCAGTTGAGTGAAACAGTTGAGAAGGTCACACTTCATACATTAATGAAAGTTGTAATTTAAGCTTTTTCTTTCCCATTCGTTATTTCTTATTTCGTTCCTACTGAATTGAAGCAAGGCTCGAACATGTTGTGTTTCACTCTAGTTCCGTCGAAAGGTTATTAACAAACGTAAAGGAAAATGACCGGGTTTAATGTTCTATTGGTGCAATGAAGGAGTATGTACTGACCTATTGATTCTTTAGGAATACACAATTTCTTCAGAAAAATGCACTAAACGTCTTACCTGGAATTTTTGAGATTTCATCGCGCAAATCTGCGTTTAGGGGCTAAACCAAGAGGCATTATGTCTGAAATAAAACCCATTTCTGAAGGAAGAGATCCTATCTCGCTCAAAAAAAGCCACCCCGTGACCTCTTCACACATCTTCCATAATCATTCAATACTCACACAAATTATCTCTCTCACAGCAAAGCGTCCGTGGGTTTGGGGAGCCTAGCCGTGCAATCGTGAAGACAGCAGTGATGATGATTGGAGAGTTTGACTTCGACGACTTATTCAACTCGCCAGACCAGGATGTTCCTGGTGTCGCGTGGTTTATTTTTATTGTCTTCTTGATTATCATGACTCTCATCTTGATGAACTTATTGGTGAGTTTTCTTGTGTTTATTTGCCTGGTGTCGATTAATTTTAAATAGTGACTCTTAATTATACTCAGGGCTTGCTTTACATGCCCATTCTCCATCATAACAGGGCGTATCTTAGAAGTGTCAACTAAATTACATGTGAAACCTTTTTTATTTTCACCAAGAACAGTCTGTGTAACACGCGTGCGATTTCACCAGGCCTGCGCTTTATTCGCGCCCGGCATAGCCAGAGGAAGCTCTCACACGCGCGCGTGTTCCTCGCCTTCCTTTCCGCCTTCCTCTGCTTTAAAGTGGGAATTTTTAACTTGGAAATGGCCTTTTATTACGCCAAGTATGATGCTCTGTAGACTGAATCATCCTTCTATAAAGCCTGAGTATTCGCATAACACGTCAAGTAAGATCTTCGTCAACGTTGAGTTATGTGGGTAGTGTTTTTCAACAAATTCGCAATTTTGTCTTGCTATATTTACAATTGTGAAATGAGTAAAAAACATAATTACATCATATTACAGATACCGTGTTGCCTTCAGTATACAATGGTTAACCTTGGTAAAGCTCAATTTTGCATCATCGATAGGACTAAACCAACTTAAATGAAATACTTGATAGGTTAGTTTGAAGTAATGAGTCTGCTGACGCTTCAGGGTAGATGTTTTCAAAACCTGCGTTTGGCTGCGAGTATGATGTGTTTTGTTGATTCTCTGTGTTATTCTCTCCCAAGATTGGTTTGGCTGTGGACGACATCAAAGGTGTCCAGGAGCAGGCTGTACTCGAGCGCCAAGCCATGTTGGTACGAATTAAGTCAGTAGCCTTATAGAAACTCAAATTCCTAGTACGCGCCCAGCTCCTTTCCTCTTCTCTCTTTCACAAGGATAGTTTGGGATTGATATTAAGGAATGTTCCATCGAAATGACGTTACTCTCACCTACCTATAGTTTATTTGTTTGGTGGTTACCTGGACATAAATCCTGATTGACGGACTGATTGTCTGTCTGACTGATTAACTGGCTGATTGACTGATTGAAGGACGGACTGACTGATTGATGGACGAACTGACAGATTGATGGACGGACTGACTGATTGATGGATGGACTGACAGATTGATGAACGGACTGACTGATTGAGGAATGGACTAACTGATTGATGGACGGACTGACTGATTGACTGACTGAATGACTGACTGATTGATGGACGGAGGGGCTGATTGACTGACAGACAGTCTGTCAGTCAGTCAATCAGTCCGTCCGTCCATCAATTAGCCTGATTTATTGATGGACGGACAGACAGACGGACTGACTGATTGACTGACGGACTGACGGACTAAATGACTGTCGGCTGACTGACTGATTGACTGACGGACTGACTGACAGACTGACAGGATGTCTGACTGATTGTCCCACTGATTGACCGACTGACTCACAGACTTACCAATTGACCAACGGACTGTCTTATTAACTGTTGGACGAAATGACTGATTGATTGTTTGATTAATTGACTGCGTTTCACAGAAACGAGCGAAACGCAGTAAGATGGAAGTTTGACGTCCACCCCTAGCGCAGCCTTGAAAGAAATTTGTCGCTTTCATTCCACGCAAATGTTTTACTTCGCTCTCAAATGTGGTACCCCATATACTAATGGCAGTTCGTTTGGCTTACGGACTATTTCTCTCTTTCTTGCTAAAGGTTGATTTAGCAATGGATGTAGAGAAAGCTTTGCCCAGAAGACTTCGAAAACGGCTTATACCAGAAAGGGAAGTTGTTCGACCGAACCAATATGAAGGATTCAAACGTTACTGGTACAGTCCCCCCATCTCTGCACAGGAAGTCCAAGTAGCGTTGAAGCCGAACAAGGTAAGTGCAAATAAATCCATCAGCAACAAGAAAGTATCAAGTTGAGATACTTAATTCTGCCTATAATACTTATTCCTACAGCTCAATTATTTTTGTGGTTTTACTTCTCATTATGGGAGATCCCCTTATGGATCCAGAAATAACCGATAATGTCCCGTGGGGTATAATTTTGCTGTCCACTGAAGCATTCAAGTCAAATTCAAGGTTCATGTGATATGATTCAAGGTGTGTCAAGATACCTTGAGTCTAGAAAGAACTTGAGTGAGATTACAGAGTGCACTTCGATAAGTGTCTTAAAACCAAAACCAAAGAGATTACAACAGCCAATCATAACAAACTATGAAGCGCGGGAAAACGCCATTGATCAAGTCGTGATTTGTTTTAGTTTTCAATCTGATTGGTTGAGAATTTCTGCGAGGATCCTGGGCCAATCACAGAGCGGAGATAGCCAAACTAAAACAATCCCAGTTCTTGTGTTTTTTGAGAATCATTTGAAAATTTCTCTACGCATAATTCACTCCCCATTTTTAATTCTCCCTCGATGAGGGGCAAAATTCATCCATTTTTGATCAGTATTTTATATGGTTATTCATCTTTCCACAAAAATGGCTGAGTGACTGGAATAGTTGGAGTATTCAGGCTTAATATTTAGACTGCTCTAGAGGTGGACGCTGATGTCACTGGTGTCGTGGCGGCTGTTGTAAAAATACCTCAAGCCTTCCCCTTATTCTCTCTCTTCATGTTTGAGGGTGAGAGTGAATTTTATCACAAGAGGACTGTTTTGATGAATGACTGATGTTTCGAAATCAATAGCAGGCTCATGGTCACAGTCAGGCGGGAGTTTTTCTTAAAATGGAATTGAGAACTCAGAAAAAAGAAGTAGTGTAGAAAAGTGGCTCTCTGCAGGGAGACTTGTACTTACTTCTTTGGTATTTGACTCTCAACTTAAACCTCTGACTTTTTATTTTCCTTTGCTGCTATCTTGTTGTAGTCGTCCCTTGAAGTGTTGTCAGACCGAACGGATGAACTCCAAGAGACTGTGCTAGGAATGAAGAATCGCTTGAAAACAATGCAGTGTAACCAGGAGGAGATACATAAGATGCTGGTGGGAATTGTCAAGAAACTTGATGCCATCGTCGAAGGAGATGACGATGAAGACGATCAGTTGTTTTAGTCGCGTGAAGTTATGAAACCGCTGGTCGTTTAGAATGGCAAATAACTGGGTTCACGAGCAACGCGTTTACTGATCATTAGAGTAGTGAGACTATTGTAACTTGAAGAAGGATTCTTATGTCATACACACGAAGTTTTTTTGTTGACTGAGTGATTGAATAGTGAATCATGAATGTATTTATGCACGCATTAACGTTGTCTTCGTTACGCAACTTGTACTCAGTCTGAGTGGAGCGTTGCAAACCGAACGACAGTTTCAAAGGAGGCTAGTTGCACTCATACACGAAAAATGTGTTGAAAAAGTGTTTTTGAAATTTTAACAGTTCTACTGATATTTGTCTACATTAAGTGTTAGGAAATATTTATACCAGTACCAGAAATGTGGCTTTCTTTTGCACCACAAAACAAAAATATATATGTGGCACTTAAACGACCGCTGTTTGGTTAGTTTAGTTAGTTATATATAGGCTATTTTAGAAAAAATGAGATATTTAATAGATGTGTGTACCCAAATTATTCAGTGGCTTACTAGGAAATACAAGAATTATTGAAGTCAAGCAAAATATTTATGATACACGGGAGAAACGTTTGCGAACCTCCATTGTACACGCCTAGCACAAATCCATCTCACCTGAATAAAGAGCAGATGGAGAAGGTCAGCTCTGAGTTAAAACAAAATATATGTTAATTAATTCTTTTTTAGAATGAACCGGTTCATGTTCTTAATAGAATCCTTCGTTGAAAAGTTAAAAATAGTTAGGGATGGGAATTTTTTTAACCTCGGATTAGCAGCACTTGTCTCAAAGAATAAACCATTTAAACGAATGTTTGGAATGTGGTTGTTTCTGCTAAGTTATTTGAAATGCTACTTTCTGGCTTGGTGCTTGGTTATGGCAGTGAAAAAAAAATTCTTTGCGATAAACTATTGGCTCTTTAGAACAGGCTACATCCGTCGACTAGGTAACACAGCAATTATAAGTTTCTTTGCTCAATTGCTCTTTTGTGCTAAGCAGCGTTATAAAAGTTTTTGCGAAGGCGCTTTGTTTTCTGGAATCAATATTTTTACAGCTATACTCGCCAAACTTCAAGGGATGATGAATAAGGTATTTTTTTCATAATTAATTTCAATAAAAAACATACTCAAGATGATTGCAACATTTAGCAAATAGGTTTATTCAGTTAAACTGTCGGAACCAACTGAACTAAAAATTTTCGTAGTAGTTAAAAATACTAAGATTTTATGACGCAGCCCTTTTTTCGTCCAGATCCTGATTAGGAATAGCCCTCCCACACCCGCTGTCGGATTCTGTACTGTGATATCTTCGAACTAAGGACTTGACGGTAATAAACTTTCGGAAGAATGTTATTCCGCCTCCCTTCTCAAAACTGGATGCCGGCTTTTCATCGATTTCCTCACATGCCATGTCTAGGAGTACAATTCTTGGATTTAGAGGCTTGGGTCGAACAAATCGTCGCTCGTATGAACAGGGAAGAGTGAACACAATGTCTGTCTGAGACCTGGGGGCTAAATCAGCTGCAGTTATCTCCTCAGACTCGAAGTCAGGCTCATCATCCAAATACTCGCGTATAAATTTAAGTTTAGAGGCACAAGTAAGGCTACTGCGCCTTTCTCTTTCCAACACTAAATCCCCTTCTTCAGGTTTAGGAGTTGAACTGCGTGAGTTGTTATTAAAAGCACACTCCTTATGTACACCTGTAGGCATTTCACTTAGCACTGGTTGAGCCCACTTACAATTACCACCTGAGTGAACGCGTCTGACATCCTGCGCTGCTGGGGTCTTGGATTTCTGAACCCTGGTTCGCGCGTTCGGTGCTAGCGCCATATTCCTGCAGAATCTTTCTTCCCGTTCGATTTTCTGCAAGCTCTCCCCAAACTCGTTACTGTCTTCGTCTTCGGTCTTCTCGTTGCTCCTGCTTTCTTGGAGTACTTGTTTTGCAGCTCTAATTGCTTCAAATCTGTCCACAGCTTTTTTTACTTCAAGAACTCGCTTGCATTTCTCACAAGAATTACCATTGCAGTTATGCCTCTGGTCCAGCGCTCTCCAATGGAGTGATTTCAATGGCCGACCATCTACCCCATGAGTTACCTCAGCGCTGACTTCATCATTTACTTCTCCCAGTTGTTCTTTCTCCAGAAATTCTCCATCCTTCACCCCCTTTACACAAATTGCTTGGTTATCAGGCTTGTATAAATCGTGAGAGAGCGATCGCGAGAGTCGGTGTTTTGATATTTCGGAGCACCTTCTCTGCATATTGGCAAAATGAAGTGATTTCAGTTGTGATCCGTTTTCCGGCTCCTCTTTCACTTTGAAAACTTCGGGCAATCCAGGATCAAGAACTACATCTATAGCTTCCTGTTGTGCTCGAATGAAACTTCTCGATCGGCGCGCTTTGCTTTTGTTGGCTCCGATAATTCTTCGTAATATTGAGTTTTCTTCACGATCCTGTGTTATTAGACTCGGAAAGGCACTTTCCCCCTCAGAGCATTGATCAGCCTCTTCGAGCATCTTTGAAAAAGTGTGTGTTTAAGCCACCACGATACGTTTACGACGTCAGCGAACAATTGAGGTTGATAAATATACAATCAATTTATTGTCATAATACATTATTGTGCGCGCGCTCCTCTAATGTTATCCGGTCGATTCGAACCCACTCTTGAGTCGTTTCGTACCCAAATCAAATGTGGACTTTTGCCAAAACCGCTGATTGATTCTTACCTGATTCTTACCCCTCCCAATAAACATTTATTCGAATTACCTCGCGCGTACCTTACACTGGCTGCATGATTTGGTTTTATCGCCTGGTTGATGATGTAAGTTGGACACACAAAGTAATCGCACTTCAAAAATGAACACTAGGAAACAAAAATTATTTAATGCATGTAATATTTCAATTCACAATAAAAGAAACCGACCATAAATTCAAACATACTTACCAAGAAAAACATACTTTATTAGTTTGAGTACGAAACGACTTAACAGGATACGAAATGACTCAACAGTCTGCATACGAAACGACCGGTAACCCCTCAAATATTCTTCATTCTTTACTCACTTAATTGTTTACTTTTTTTTAGATAATTGTTTGTTTATATGCTTTTAAATATCCCGAATGGTATCCAATTAAGTTCTAAGTTTCTAAATTTGCCTGCCGCGGTAAAACCTGGTATGAGCTGTAGGAAAAGTAACCGTTACTGTAAATGCACTTTCCCTTCACGAATGGCATCAAGATACGGAAGTAAACTACACGCTTAATAGTTTTGTCCTTTTTTCGTCCACCTTACTTTTCCTTATTTCCTTTTCCTTTTCTCCCATCTTTTTAAGGCTGCGTGACATGCCCGGGTTGCGTGACGTTGTAATTTACCGCTTTCGTGTCGCACTCCGTGTTAGACTGGGTCGAGTATGTACGCTGGCTTGTTCCTCGTAGTGTTCGACACGTAGGCAGAGCACATACAAACAAGTATCCGTCAGTGTTGGAAGGGAGATGAGCGTTCGTCCGTAATATTATACCTGTCTTGTGCGTAAAATTTTGTCCTTTGTTACAGTATGGAAGCGAGATATAATTTAAGAAGTCCAGGTAACGATTTCTTTTGAGCAGCTCAGTTAAATCACAGTTAAATTTTCAAAACGTTCCTCCAAAAATTTACAGATTTCGATTATTTCATTCTTCATCATGTACAAGTTTGTCATGAATTCGGTTTGATGTTCTTGTTATGATTTTCTAACTCCAATTTTTAGGAGTGAAACGCTTGATGAGAGAAGCAAAGGAGTTGAGTCAACCAACAGAGCTGTATTTTGCGCAACCACTGGAGGTAAACAATGAATTTGTGTCCGTGAAATTCATTGGAAAACACGGAAGGAATATGAGTATAACTATCTTAAAATGCAGCACGTAGTAGTGCAAATGAAAGCATATTTACATGACGTGCTGGGTCTTGAACCAGTCTCTAGCAAAGTATGGTACGCTCATAGAGCGAGAATTTAATCGGAGGCTGACAGTCGCTGCTTGTGGTTGTTTTAGTAATCATGGCAGAACCTGTTTGTTGATGGTGAAGAGTCAGCAGTTGAACTCGTTAACTCCCAAGATCTGATTGTTAATTCTCCCCTTTTGCTGCTGCAAATTTCCTTGTAGATAAGCGAAAAGAATTCTACTTTAGGTGAAGATGACTACCAACCCTTCCTGAAAAGTTTGAGAGTATTCTCATTACCTGTTTACTAAACATTGTATGGATAGTATAGGGAGAAGTTACATTTTGATAATTTCTGGAAGGTCAAGGGGTTTAAAATGCTATTACTGTACGATGCTGTGACAGAAAAGCAACTCAGATACTATAGTATCTAAGAAATTTGATAATAAATAGTAGTACTTGTATGATAGTCATATGATGGAGTCATAACAAGAGGTTGTATCACTGCAGGATAATTTGTTTGAATGGCACTTCACAGTACGTGGCCCTCCTGACAGTGACTTTGCTGGGGGACGATATCATGGCAGAATAACTCTGCCACCAGAGTATCCAATGAAACCACCAAGTATTATGTTATTGACTGTAAGTAAAACTCACATTGAGTAAAAGGATCAGCAGGTTAATTAAATAAAAATAGTACCATATTATAATGTATATCTTAGAAGAAATTAGATAAAATTAAATATCACAAGGAGCTAATTAGAACTGTGGTGTTAGTTTTTTATCTGGGTGAGCAGCAGATAGGTTTAAGTTTCTTGGACCAGTCAGAAATCACTATATAACAAAACTAGAGAAATCCTTGAACTGCCTATAACACTTGACTGAAAATGACATCTCTTTATCTCTCTTCCCCCCCTCCCCCCCTTCCCCCTTATTAAAATCATCGACTACATTGTTGCAATTAATGCAACACAGGTTTGTAGAATTTTATAAAATATGATGTTGGCATTTGTTCTATCCTGGAGATCGAAAATTGAAACTCTGGTCACTTCAAGAGGGCTGTTTTTAGAAACCTCTGTTTTGGTTAGCTTTTGACCATCATGGCTGGGAAACAAAAAGTTGATGTAATGTTCTTTTTTTGCCTACCAGCCAAATGGTCGATTTGAAGTGGGAAAGAAAATTTGCCTCAGTATGTCAGCCCATCATCCTGAAACTTGGCAACCATCATGGAGCAGTGAGTACCACTGTTAATCTTGAACATACACTGTGAACACATTTATTGTTTAAAACTTTTCAACTGTAACACTAGCATTAAAAGCTTGTCAGCATACTACAGGAGAAAACTTAAGTGAAGTCAGCCCAGTAGCCTAGTTCCCCATCTGGTAGTAGCTTGATATCTCAGTTTCTGATGCCTAAAGTGACAAGATTTAGTTTCACTTCCTACATATAGATCATACATGTAAAATGTAGTATCATTAACCCTCTGACCCCTAAGAATGACCAGCATCTAATTTTTTCTTATACTTATCATCCTTGAATCATGTGTTAAGGTCATGAAGATAAATGAAATGATCACCATCTAAGGGAGCTCTTGATTGTAAAACAAATTCTTCTTGTCAGCACCTTGTGAAATGTATAGAGAACAGTATGGAGAATATGCATACTGATATTAGGCTGTAAAAGGTTTATACATGACATTTTGATTTTCCAATAGTTCGCACTGTGCTCATGGCAATCATTGGATTTATGCCAACACAAGGAGCTGGAGCAATAGGATCACTAGACTATACTCCACAAGAAAGGAAGGTTCTGGCCAAAAAGTGAGTAAGATTCATGGTATTTTCTATTATGATTAAGAAGAGTGTTGTGCAGTGAAACCTCTATTTGGCAGACTCCTTCCCTTGTGTCTGTTTAGTATAGGGTTCATTCTGAATACAGATTTGTTATAAGGAATATTTTGATGACATTAAAAAACAGCAAATTTGGTATTCCTACAGAGTGACTTCTCCTTTGGAAAATTTCTCCAAATAAGATGAAAATTTGAATTCCTCTATTGTGAAAACATCTTGGTAACAAAATGTGCTCATTGTCACAACTGTGTAACATTTTTTTGAGGAAGGAGGTTAAGTTAAATGGTTTCTGGAGTGTATATATGCATGTACTTCTCTTCTGCTAGTAGTTGACAAGAAGTTTCTTCCATTTTGTGAATTTGTAAGGGAGTAATTTAAGCCAACCAAAATAATACCTCATTATCACTCTTCCAAAAACTTGATTGAACAAGTATGAGTGCTACTGACTACTAGCATAAAACAGATTTACCATTTATGTCAATAGAGAAAGTAAAGATTGACCTTTTGGAACTCTTTTTGAATGATTGTTTTAACGATTTTAATTGTATCATTTAGATCACTTGAATGGAAATGTAATACTTGTGAAGGATGTTTGAAAACTGCTCTCTTAGAGACCTCTGGTATGTCTGCTTTCTTTTTACTACTGGATATTGTTTCTTTGCTATTCAAACCACTGTAGTCCTACCCGTACTGTACATGTATGTTGTTTTGGATAATTTATACTTACCATAACTAGGTCAGCTGATTATTTTCCCAAATGTATTAAGAAATAAGTTCTTGATCTGGTTGTGAAATAAATGACCACAACATTCTGTAAAATCAGAGAATGGAAATTATTTACTTTACTAACCTGTTTTTTGAACATCAAGCCAAAGGATCATTGACAATTTAGCACAGAAAATAAGATGCTGTTCAAGTTACAAGTTAACAACTAATATGATGGCTTTGGTGTTAATTTCGCTCTTGACAGGCAAGTTGTATTTGAATTATGCATTTTAGGTGATTCATCATCTAAAGAAGCAGAAAGGGAAGCTGTAGAATTAGCTGCACAAATCACATTTAAGGTGAGGCAGTCTGGATACAATTAGAATAACTTGTATAAATGCATGAGCATATCCTGGTTTTCTTAGTTATGAGCAACTGCAGTCTTTTAGTATTCTTCTGGATGGAATGCCTTTTTTGGTAGCTGGTTATCCCTGGTTATTACTTCTGGTTTCCCAGACAAACTGCTGGAGCCCATTTATACCCTCTCACTCACAGGGGTGACCAAGAATGAGGTACACTCTACCCTTGACTATTATTAAAATACATTTTTGAGCAAACAGGTGAGGAGAGGGAGGAACAATAACCATCAAGGAATGTTCTGGTAGTTTGATTTCACATCAAATTCTCAAAGCTAAAATCTTAAAAAATGTATGGTTGGCAGTGCAGAGAATAGATACACTTGGCTCTTAGGAGTGAAAATGATTTTTCTCGGTGGAGGGGAGCAGATTTTCTGGACTGTTTCACAGTACCCATATCAATTCATGGATGTGAAAGTACAAGAGTGAGGTTTCTTTTCTAAGACAGGAACAAAACAATGAATGACCTTTCAATACAGAGTCTTGCTGGCTAACCATATTAAGGCTAGCATGTCTTCAGACATTAATCTGAAACATTGCTGTGGGGGTACTGTATGACTAACTAATTTTCCTCTCAGGTGGAGAAGTCATACTCTTTGTTATATCTCTCAGTTAGTATGTGTGCTATGATTGTATTTCACTGTACGGCCCAATGAATTCAAAAGTTTGTTTGAATTGAAAACTTTTACACTTTTTTGGAATCCAGAGATATGATAACATCTTATGAACTTCATTTCCTCAGTCTGCACTGTTAGTTATTGAACCTTGTTTTTCCACTCAGTCATAAATCAGAGCAGAAAAATTCAGTTTGTAACTTACAGAACAGACCAAGAAAACTAGGTTAGTAAATGGTATGTACATCAGGAGAAGTCCTCTGGCTGGCCCCAAGATTTCATCAAAATGTGATTTGTCTCATCCTTTCCTTATATTACAATATCATGATAACTTTCTCTTTTCTTTTCAAAGGGAGAGAGTGAAAAAGAGAAAACCTCTCAAGGAAGCACAGCAATGCCAACTTCTAATGTAACAAGCCAACCACAGGCTGCCTCTACGACAGAATCTGTTCCTACAGGAAATTCTCAAATGGGGGCCTATTCAATGGGTGTAGCTTCACAGTACTATGCAGCATACCAGCAGGGGGGATACCCTTACTATGCCACAGGTTACCCGATGTACAACATGTTGAATTCCAATCCTTTACCAGCCCAAGGATACCAACCTTCAACTATTTTACCCAATCAGAATGGTGCTCATGTCACACCAACCAATCAGAATGCAGAAGATAGAGGGACAGCTAGTAGCATGCGTCAAAGGACTGTGGTTAATCAGAGTGCTGCATCGCAAAATACGATGCAGCCAGTATCCCAGGCTAATTCTGTGGTTCAAAGACAACCCCGCATTACACAAAGCAGCATGGCCTCTTTAATTGTTCTTTGGGTCTTGGCTGTGTCAATAGCTGCACTGGTTTGTAGAAGAATTTTTATGATATCACAATGAATGATTTCGTTTACGTTTACAAGAACACTGTAAGTATTGAATGTAAATGACCACATGTGATAAAACTGGGGGTACTTTTTCCCCAAAAAAAATTTAGGATGCTTTTTCAGCTCAAGGGACTAAGGGGGGATGTTTTATTAAAATCCAGGGGGTAAGTTTCTAAAGAAACTGTGGTGCTGCGTTAAGAATGAATTTTTCAGAAGAAAAAATAACACGTGTTCTCCAGTCACTTAGTTTACAAAGATACATGTCAATAAAGGAAATCTTAAAAAAAAAACGTTTAATTTTAGTTATTTTCAAAGACTTTGGAATCTACTGTAGGTTGATGCTTCTATCCAATAAGAACACTTTTGGTAGGCGACAACATATTTCAGTGCAAATATAAAATAAAGTGTACTGCTGAATTTTTATGCTCTTCTATGGTAGATATTTCTGCGGATGTAAATAGAGCTGAACTTTGTCAGTGTTGATCTCTGTCTCGCGCGAATGGTCGCCTCAACCCTCTACACCCTAAGATCGGTATGCATATTCTCCACACTGTTCTGTATACATTTCCTAAGGTGCTGACAAGGAGAATTTGTTTAACTGTCAAGGGCTTTTTTAGTTGGTGATCATTTTCGCTATTCTCGTGACCTCAATGTTTGTTTCAAGGGTTATTTGTAAGGAGAAATTAGAAGCTCAACAGTCAGTCTTTGGGGTCAAAGAATCAATCGATCCACGTTGTTGAGAATGCTTGAGCTCAACATGGCTGGATGGTGGAGTTTTTCTTCCTTGTGTTTCCTGTATCAAGATCAAGTCCGCCGAGATGACACGAAAGTACCCATCCATATTGACCAAATAATATTGGACAAAGAATGCTAGTGATTTTGCATAGACACATGTAGAGAAAAAGCGAGCTTATAAGATTCTCACAGGCTGAACGCCGAGAAACTTAAAAGAACGAAGTCCACCGCAAGTTCACGCATCTGTCTGGTTAGGAAAAGGGTCACATTTTTGTGCTATTTGTCAGTTAGGATAATCCAAGCTGTTACTTTTGATTAACACTAATTGAAGAAGAGATAAGATTTCCTGATTTCTTCCCTCTCTGTAACTCTCAACTCGACTATGAAAGATAACTTTACAATACCAAATACGACAGTCGGCCATAACAATCTGACCCGAAGTAATTTTTTCTTTCTCTTTGTTTCCTCTGGGAGCGCAAGAGGTGTATGCCTATCTCCCATACTCATGTAGCCAATGAGAACACAGGACTCGCTTCATGATCACTGACTCCCCTTTGCTAACCCCTTCGCTAACTGTGTGCTAAGACAAGTTTTTTATTTTGCGAAGTTCACTGTACATGAGTTGTCGTTAATCCTTGTTCTCTAAATATCTGTTTTCCAAAATAGTTATCAACCGCTTACTTTACAGAAAAACAAATTAGTTTTTCGAAGACTGATCAGTCGTGCTACATTAAATAATTTTAATATACTACAGCGGATACAAACCTAAAGGATCACTAAGTAGATTGAGTGAAAGAAAGAGAGTCAGCTAATGAAATTGTGTAACCTCACACAATCGTAAAATGTAAAACTTTCAACTGAATTATTGTTCTGTAAAAACTCTGTCACGTTGAGGTAACTAAATCGTCATCGTCGTCTTCGTCGTAGTGATACAGTGATCCTTTCAAAGACAGGATCAGCAAAGAATTATCTCACTATTGTTTCCTCTTTTTAAGAGCACTGAGAGTTATCCCTTTTGACCGCTTCCTATTGCTTTAATACCTCCATAAGAATAAAATATCGACGGCTAAAACTGCTTCTCTGTATTTTGTTCAATACAGTTTTTTTTTTAAATTCAAGGTGAAATTTAGTGTGCCGTGGGAAATTTTCATCCCAAGTCATTAGTTGGCATGTATTGGCACAGAATGCGATTAAAATCTGGAGGTTGTCACTGGCTTAAGGAAAATCAATGTAAACAGTGCTCGTGTATCAAGAAGGGGCACGAAACGAGATCAACAACATGGAGCAAAGCCGTGTTAGAAAGAACAAAAGAGAACAGAGGCGCGTGAAAGTGCTGCGAAACGCTTTTACGGTTTTGAAGGAACTTCTTCCCAACAACAGTGACTTGAGTACAAAAATAGAAATTTTGACGAACGCGGCAGAGTACATAGTGTTTTTAAAACAGACGGTGAGAAACTTACAGACTCAGCTGAAAGAAGAACCAACGGAGCATCCACGTTCGAGCTGTAGATATGCCCAGGTAATTTTAATTAACGTGTAGAGGTTTCGAAGTAATAAAAACGGTTGCGGCAGTTGGGTTAGTTTCCGTACGACATTCGACCATGTAAGAACGATAAGGAAACTTTCCTCTTCGAACCACACCCATTTGTGCGCGCTGTAAAAGTTTTGCCGCACAACCTGGCCGGATCATTTCTCGAACATATGAAACATGCAATTCTCTCTCTTGCTCTTATACTTCTGTTCCTCTTAGAAAGATTTATGATGAGATTCTTTAAAGCACAGTGTAAGAAGCCTCGCTAAAGGGTCAGCAAAATTTCATAGGCATGTGTTTAGAAAGCTAAACTTGTTCTCGAAACTCCCCGCGGGAGCGCCATAATACTCCTACGTAACTAATGAATTTTGTTTGGGTCGGCAGAGATATGACGTTTGAATCGCTGTCTCGCAGCGTCGTGTAGCATCGGAGAGCCTGTCGAACTGAACAGCCTGCCAAACTTAATTAAAAAGTTAAATTCAGACGCTGTGCTTCTGCCGTACCCTTGTTGAACTGAATTCATGTATTAAGTTCGACACGGCAGGAACACGACGTCTAAACTGGCCCTAAGACCCTCATAGGCAAGGCGCCGGAAAACTCAAAAGGACAAAGTCCACCGCAAGTTCGCGCATCTATCTAGTTAGGAAAGGACCACCTTCACTGAGCTATGTATTAACCAGGATAATTCAATCTGCTACTTTTAATTAGCATTGAACGAGGAAGAGATAAGAGCCTGATTGCTTCCTTTTTAACTCTGTCAATTCGGCTGAGAAAAGACTACTTTCCCATGTCAAATGCACCCGGCAATTATGATAAAAATGTTAATTACAGCAACAAGCTTAGTGAAGGAATTGACTTGTGCGTCCACATACGTGACAAAAATTTCACATAGCAGTTTTTAACTGTTCAGAATCCCTTGACGGGACACTTGACGATCTTTATTTACACGACCTGAAAGCAAAGGTGCTCGAAATGCCGCGTGAAGTGTTCACACTAAGTTAACAAAGTTGGAATCAAAGCACGTCACTAAGTAAGCCAGTGTTCTTCACACGAACAGAACTTGAATTATCCTAATGTGAACAGTTTTCACATTAGGATAATTCTTCGGAATGTAAAACTCATTTTTAACCAGTAAAGACTTACGCAAGTTTGCGTTGTATATTAGCAACAGTCATAGCATTCCAATTTGAATTATTTTATATCTAAACTTATTAGTATTGGGTGTTAACTTAACAAAGCATCTCATTAACGGGAACAACGGTACCCTATCTTACATGGGTTGTTTCTGTGAGCACTGCACCCCAGTAATTACAAAAAAACCTTTCGTGGGAACTAATACAAGTATATATCTAAAGATACGGGAAAGAAAATTGAAATTGTCTCGGAGTAAGGCAGACCGTTGTAGTTCGAACTCTGCCAATGACCACTGATCTCTGTAATGGTTCATTTCTTGAATAATGAACCAATTCTCCCTTCTAGCGGACACACATTTGAGCATAAATCTGTGTGAAGAACATAGTTCTGTATAACATCCTCCCTAACTTCTTCTAGGAGAAAAGTAGTGAAAGTTGCGAGGGAGGTAGTTGTTGATCCCATCTTAGAGTTAAAGGTCAAAACTGTTACTAACAATTTCACAATCGTTGGTGTTTTATTTCTTCTCCCCGGGGGTCTGATTATAGTGATTACCTACAAACAAGTTTGCGGATTAAGACTGATAACTTACCAGCTGTCATGCTGTCATCATGGATAGATCATAATGAACCCTAGAGGCTTTGTTTACAAATGATTGATAAAATATTTGCCAGTTTAATTTGCTCCAATATTTTAAGCCTTCTTTTTGGGGTAGCACCATACCAGAGGTATTAACTACTTGACAGATAGATTCTTGGTGGTCATGTGGGGTGTGTTAAGGGAAAGATTACGGATGACGTCGAAGAGTGGCACACGAGGTGCAGCCGAGTTTGATGTTCTTGTCACATTTTAAAGACTTCTGTGGTATTTTATTGAAGAGACGCAAGGAAAAATATTTTTGGAATATTTTTGTTTACACGATAAATAAGTGCTTCCTTTTTACTACTGGATATTGTTTGTTTGTTCTTCAGTGATTTTTGCTTTTCAAACCACTGTAATCCTACATGTGTGTCCGGTATTGGATATACTTACCTTAACTAGATCAGCTGATTATTTTCCCAAGTGTATTATAAACCAGTTCTTGATCTGGTTGAGAAACAAATGACATTATTTCGACGGCTTCTATGGTCTTTTTTTGAAGAGACGCAAGGAAAAATATGGAATATCTTTGTTTACATGATAAAGAAGCAAATGTTAACGTTCTTAATCTCGTCGCCACCAATTCGTCTGTCCTTCCAATAGGAGGGTTTCAATGGGGTTAACCAATAGCCGTAAAACGACCAAACGTTTAACCGTCAGTCGTAAAAAAGTTAACTGTATTAAAGTTCCTGCTGACAGCAATGGAATGATATGAATGGCCAAAATTTTAACCGCAAGCCGTAAAAGTCATCGCCCCATTGAGGCCTTCCAATAGATCACGCGTAAGAACCAATCAAATTGCTTTTTTTTTCATCAACTTTATTGGGTTAATAACATAGTACTAACTACAAAAGACATAGAGACAAAAATAAATTAAGATAGGAACAAAAATAATTCTAACCCAAAAGGGTAGGTGCGAACGGGACCGCCATGCGAGGCACCGCCCACCGCGTTTATAATGCGGCTTATTTTAAAAATGCTATTGGTCGATGCAAACGAAAGAGACGTTTATTGGGTCCATACGAA